AGTTTCACAATTTGAGTTGAATTACTGAAATAAATGAACTTTTCCACGACATTCTAATTGATTGAGATGCACCTGTATTTCATAAATTAATTGTATCCTGAAACACGGTATAAAAAACTTAAATGAGATATTTGAAAAAGAACTCTGATCAATATTAGAGAACACTTATAGAATTAAAGTGAAAAAAAGTGAAAAAAAGTGACGTGACGTGACGTGACATGTGGCCAAGTATGGTTGCCCATACTCGGAATTAGTGCTCTGCATTTAACCCATCCAAAGTGCACACACACAGCAGTGAACACGCTGTACATTCCCCCCCCCCACCTACAATCCCTGCCGGTACGAGACTCACACCCACAACCTTTGGGTTACTAGTCCGACTCTCTAACCATTAGACCACGACTTCCCCAATTATATTAGACAAACTCTATTTAACTGGAAGCATTCGTCTAATTTTCACTGAGATTGTAAGATGGCGGGCCGCTCTAAGGTGACTGAAAGCCTGAAACAGGAGGAGGTCCAGATGAAGGCCAAAGGGACGACACTTTCAGACACTGCAAGAGAAGCTGGACGTTCCAAGAATACTGCAGCTTTACAAGGAGACTAATTCATTCAAGTCCCCCAAAAAGGCTGGTCGTCCACATAAGACACATGCACGAGAGGACAGGATAATGTAGAGACTCTCAATGAGGAATCGGTTCAGCACTGCAGCTGGAATTGCTCAACAGTTCAGCTCTGAACAGGATCTGGATCTGTCTCGGCACGTTTAAGAGAAGTCGGACTGAAAGCGCACGCTACAGAGATCAAGCCTCTCATCAGCAGAGAGAATCAAAAGGCTGGACTCATCTTTGCTGAGGTGCATGTTGTGTGAAGAGAGGAGAACTGGTCCAAAGTTCACTTTAGTGACGAGAGCGAGTTTCATTTATCTGGGTCTGATGGGAAACACTAGGCGTCAAACTGGGGAAAGACTGAAGCCCGAGTGCGTAAAGAAGTCAGTGAAAATTGGAGGAGGACGTGTCATGGTTTGGGGGATGTTTGGGTCTCTTACACAGATACATGGCAGGAGAATGCAAATATTCATCAGAACCTCCTTCAGCAACATGCAGTTTCTTCCCTGCGTTCATCTCCCAATCAACCTGCAATTTTCATGCAGGAAAATGCTCCCGTCACACTGTAAAACAGGTAAAGCAGTTCCTTGATGCTGAAAACATGCTGATGATCAAAACCAGTCTCAAAATCTCTGGAAAATCCTTGGCAACAAAGTTCTGGCTAATAAACCCTCTGCAGGTATTGAACTAAATGTTAGTTGCAATCTCCTTTCATGCTACAGCGGTTACTGTTCTCTAATTCTGATCACTGTGTTTTCCACAAAATAAAGGGTTTTGTTGAAATGCCTTGGTTATTTTGTCAAACATGTTAGTATAACACTGGTATAAATACAGCTAATATTCCTTCAAATTTTGAGCAATGAAGATTAACGATATTTCAGAAAAAAATCAAGTATTTACAGATTGTTCTCTAATTTTGATCTCCACTGTACTGTAAACTGTATTTTATGTCTGTGATGCGCAGCTGTATTTTCAGCATCATTACTCCAGTCTTCAGTGTCACATGATCTTCAGAAGTCATTCTAATATTTAACATTTCTGATTATTAGCAATGTTGAAAACAGTTGTGCAGCCCAATATTTTTGTGGAAACCGTCATACATTTAATTTCATTTATATGCTGACGATACACAGGTGTACCTGCCGTTGAAAGCTGGCGATTCCATTCAACCATTGTTGGAATGTATCTCGGATATTAAGAAGTGGTTATCAAATAACTTTCTCCAACATAATGAGGACAATAAATAATAAAAATAAATTGAGGAGTGGTCTCATTAAGGAGCTGGGCAATCATTTCCTCTCAATAATCCCCTCCTTTTGTTTTATTATCTGTTTTGTTTTGTTTGCTTTTATTCTGTCTTTATGAACTTTCCTTTACTTTGTACTTCAGCACTTTGGAGAGCTTTGCTAAGTAAATGTGCTATATAAATAAAATGTACTTACTAATGCATTTGTTAGTATTAGTGTTTATTAATCTTTGTTAATAAAAAATAAAGCTCTTCACGGTTTGTTAATGCTAGCTCACACTGCATTAATATTAACAGATACAAATTTTTATTTTAATAATGTCACGTATGTACAATATATCACTGGCATGATTATGAGATATAATATATTACAGGGATAATTCACCCAGAAATTAAATTTCTTAACCTCAAGTTGTTCCAAACCTGTACGAGTTTTGTTTTTCTGCTGAACACAGAAGATGATATTTTGTAGAATGTTGGTAAACAAACTGTTTCTGGTCCCCATTGACTTCCATAATATTTTTCTATACTACAGAAGTCAATGGCTACTAACAACTGTTTGGTGAGCAACATCACTCGAAATATCTTCTTCTAACTCATACCGGCTTGTAACGACTAAATGATAACAGAATTGTCATATTTAGGGGAACTACTCCTTTAGCACTGATTCAGTGCTGCCAGAGTTTGAGCAGTGGGCCTGTAATGCGGTATACCGTGGGTTTGTTTCTGTGATACAGTACCCAGATCAATATCTGTGAATCCCTCAGCAGCCAGAGCGTCTCCTGTGTTTTTGTCGATGTTCTCCAGGCACAGGCTGGCCAGCTGCGGCTCATCGAACAGTCTCGCCTTCAAACAAACAACACATCAGCCTGTCAGGTAAAGCCTGTGTAAACATTACAGGTATGAATGAGCTCTACCTGTGTGAGCAGCATGAACGCATTGTCTGCGCGCAAGTTCTTCTTCAGAAACTCCACACAATGGGCCTCCAGAGCCGGAACGGCGTATTTCTTAGCGGTGTAGAGAGTCGTCATCACCGTCTCAGGCCCGATGTGAACCTCATCAGAGTACAGGAACCTGGAGAAAAGGTTACAGTTTCTGGAATGTATGTACAGTATATACATGATTACTGAGAAAAACACTCATACTTGAGCAATGCGAGGAATGCAGCAGGTTCTACATCAGGAAGCTCGATCTCTGTGGATGTGGTGGCCATGCCTCCATTAAACATGGCATCAAATACTGCACTGCCAACGGCCAGAACAAACCTGCAATGGTAATATTAATATTATCAAAAAATATCATAATAATTATTGTTATAATAAATAATACATTTATAATATTATAATATATTTATTTAATAAAAAATATTATTTCCATGACAAATAAGCACATTCCCACCCAAATCAACATATTTTTACAGCATGGACTTTATATATGACTTTAACTTATTCTGATTTCACTTTGAAAAAAGAATTGAAAATTACAAACAAACACAGAAGTCGAAAATATGGACATTTTATGGTAATCAAAACTGATTATTATAAATATATTTATTTAATAACCATTTATTATTAAAGTTAACGCATCTTTTTTCTCGCAATTAAAAACAAAACAAATAAAATCAGAATTGCAAGATATAAATTCTAGTTTCAAGATGTTAACTCACAATTGGAAGAAATAATTGGAACTGTGAGATAAAAAGCAATTATTACATTTATATTTTTTATTCCGTGGCAGAAATAAACTAAAAATACATTCTGAGTTTATATGTTGCAATTCACTTTTTTCTCAATTGCTAAAAATGTTTGATATATATTTAAAAAATCATAATTACTTTTCTTTTTTATTCCATGGCAGGAAAAAAAAAACAATTGCGAGATGTAAACTCAGAATTGCGAGAAAAAAGTCTGAATTCTGAGGTCATATCTCACAATTATGACTTTTCTCTCAGAATTAATAATAAAAAATAAAAAAAACAGATTTCTGAGATGAAAAGTCACACCTTTTTTTATCCCATGGAAATTTAAAACAAGTTAATGACAAACACAAACACACGAATGAATTGTCACAATGCAAAAATATTTTAACGGTCGGTTTTTAATCATAAAAACGTTTGTCTCGTGACCAGCTGTTAACTAGGGATGGGCGATACCACTTATTTTGTTTTCGATACGATACCGATATTTTTCAAGGCAGTATCGTCGATACCGATTCAATACTTCTGAACTAAACTTTTAAATTATGAAATGTATTAAATTATTAAATAACTAAGAGTAAAATGGGTAATGATAAGCACTTAACTTTATGTTTAAAACGCATTTTAACATTCAATACGCCTTAATTGTAACTTATTAGGTTATATTTTTGTTTACACATGGTTCAGATATGTTTTTTGTTTACACATGATTCAAATGTATAAATACTACAGTTGAACTACGGTCACTTTAGTAAAACCATGGTTCATTTTCATAAGGGACAGTGACAGGCTGTTGCATGCATAAAATGCAACCTTTTTATTCTGACAGTGTATGATTTCTATTAACATTACAGAACAGAACATGATCAATATTATCTTTCAACATTAATTTAAAAAAACTGTAATTGCACAAACTATGTAGGCTACAATTTCAGTTTGTTTATTGTGAAATAGCTCTGTCCTTCTGTCCGCTGATAAGCATTGTTCAGGGCTGCCGTTCCCAAAAGCTTTAATGCTTTCTTATGATCACTCTGTGATGGATTAGTTCTGTCTTGCAACATTTGCGTGTTCAGATGAGCAGGAACATAGTTCTATCCTACACAATTACTCGCTAACAAAGGTTATTCGTCCAATTCAATGCATATTGTACGCATTATATTTTTGTTAAATTAACAAAATCACTGGTAAATAAAACACACCTTAATATCGATATTTTTTGTTTTGAGTATCGATACTTTCGATACTCGCGTCAGTATCGATATATCGATACTTTGGATCGATACGCCCATCCCTACTGTTAACCGTACACACGCGCCATAGTAGACTGCGCATGCGTGCCGCGAATTAAGAGCTTCAGCTGAGGGGAAGATTTTTAACGAATAATGTCGTTAATTTCAGTCTGTTTCTTACACTATGTTATGGTATACCTTCGTAAGACTTGTTATAATAGCGCGTGAGATACATGGACTACGGTTACGATGTTTTTTGTCATTTTTGGAGCTTGACAGCTCCAGTCACGTCAGTCAGGGGTGACCCATATAGCCATAAATCAGGTCATAAATCTGACCATGTACACATTTGACATATGACAACCTGTCAATCAACGCTGACCAATCTGACACAAAGTGTATGACACAACTACTAAGTTAAAATTAAGTGAATTACATTTTAGACACAATATTGACTGTTATTGCTCAATTTCGCAAAGAAAAATACCAATCAAAGCCACAGCAAAACTGTTGTGTTTCCCCCAGCATACACACAGCTGTGTTAATGAATGAATCCACGTTTTTGAATGAATCGAGTGAGTCAATGATTCAGTTACCCATTCATAAATACAGTCAACTTGCCTGGTTTCTGAATAAATCAGCCGTTTGAACAAATCGGTTGAATGAATGACTAAATTACTCACTCATTAAAACACTTGTTATTTGGCGCCACCTACTGGTGGTTTGGTTTCATACTTAAACAACCTGTGAACATCTCCTGTTGTGTTCCACGGATAAAGTCAGTCATACAGGTTTTAAGACGTGACTAAATATGCCAAGATTAATTTTGATAATATACTGTCATCAGTGTGTTTCGTGAAGCACCTGTGCGCAGGTATCCGCTGGACTCCCATTCCTTTACCCACTAGAAAGTGAACATCACTCAGTACTTCATTATTGAACAAAAACGCAAATCTCTCTTTCACGGTGTTTTTCGTCGCCTGCCAGTTATAAACGGGCTCCCGGTACACGAGCACGGCGGCTGCGGCCGGAGACGAGTGTGTCGCCGGGGTCATCGCAGCGTTAGACGGGGTTCCTGTCATATTCGAGGCGGCAGGAGCCACCGCCGCGGCAGCCGGGAGAGAGTTCATCAGGTTCGGCGGAGGTCCCGAGGCAACACCGGGGCTTTCCAAGCCCGCAGGCCCCGGTTGAGGATTTGAGCGTCTCGTTACGCCCTGAGAGCCTCCGCCGCCTCCAACCGATCCTCCGTGACTCGCGGCCAAGGCGTAAGGACTGTTGCTCGGTTGGCTGTTACCCAAAGGCCCGGGTCCGGAGAAATTTAAACACGGAACCCGACCGCTATTGTCTCCAGTAGCCATCTTGAGGCGCACACCCGCTGAATGAGTAAACAAACCTCGAGCACTGTCCGTTTCCTGTCCCCTGAGCACAACATCCGGTCCCAAGCGCACGTGTGGAGTTGTATATAATTATCAATATTTTTAAAACTACTTAATTATTTTTCTATTAACTTTTCTAATTATTATTTTCTATTACATCTGATACCAGTGAAACAGACTAGAAATTGTTCTTGCAATATCTATAAAATGAAAGTCCTTTAAAATATATAAATTATTCAGTGATAAAAAGGAAACTGATTTGTCAATACACTGGTTTAATGCAGTTTAGAAGTCTAGAATTATTATATATATATATATATAATTTGTAAATAAACAATATAACAAATAATTATATATTTATCAAATTAATAGAATATTTTAATAACTATTATAACTATTCTTTTTAATATTCTAGCATTTTATTTAGAATATAGCCATTATGATTTCTGGCATCCTAAACATCCTCATAAACATTAGGGGGCGGTTTAAGTCTGGAGTAGGCTTAATCTAGAGTAGTTAATCATGGCTTTAAAAATGGCTTTCTGAAACACAGATTAAATACTCCTGGACTATTGAGTCCTGAACTAAAATAAACTAGATTCATTTAAAAGCAGCTGTGCTGATCTGAATGAACATGACAGAGGTTGCCTGTAAAACATGGAATGAATCAAGAAAAGCTTCGAATGGTGTGGAACTGAGAAGCAAACCTAAGGAAAGCAAAGTCAGCAGAAAAAAGACTGCAATCAAACATTAAAAAAAAAAAACGTACTATTGACTGAACAAGAGGAAACCTTTTTTTAAAGCAAGCAAAATAAACTGCACACATTAGGTGTGGAATAAAAGAAGAAGCCTGGAAACCTGTTTGGAATGAATTCTTGCATAAATTCAGGTGTTGTCAGTTTTGCAACATTTTTTATTATTATTGTTTATTATGTTATACATAAAACAGCTGTTAGAGAGAGAGAGAGAGAGAGAGAGAGAGTCAGGATTATTGGCACCCTAAGTACATATGATCAAAGAAGATTGTGAAAATAAATCTGAATTATTTATCCTTTTGATTTAAAAAAAAAAAGTTAATAAAAATGCATTAAAAAAACTGAACTTTTCAACAAAATCACATAAGGAAAATTTTTCTCTAATACACATTGGCCACAATTATTTGTACCCCTAGAAATGATCAAAATCAACACAAAAATGGGCCACTGAGCACAAAAGCAAAGTTCTGCCATGCTCATCCCAGTCCTCTGATCTGAACCCTATAGAAAACTGAAGTGCATCAGCATGGAGCTGGAAAACTGAAGGATCTGGAGAGATACTGTATAGAATAATGGTCTCTGGTCTCTTGTCAGATGCTCTCCAAACTCTTCAGCCATTATAGGAGAGGGTGCCATAGATAAACATTTCTTTGAGATTTCCCTTCCCTACTGTATTACTTCAATGAAAGTTTAGGGTTTTGAGTTTGTGAGTGTGTGTGTGTGTGCGTGAGTGTGAGTGTGTGTGTGTGTGTGTGAGTGTGAGTGTGTGTGTGTGTGAGTGTGTGTGTTTTAAAATTAAAAATAAAAATGATTATAACAATGCAGATTTATTTTCACAGGCTTCTTTGATCATATTTACCATTTTTTGATATATAAAGATTGAAAACATACGTAAATCTGAAGTTAAACTTGCCTCCTGGTATAGGTTTAATTTAACCATCAATTTAGTCCTGAAGAAGCTCTAGTCTCCCTTCAGGAAATCAGCCTATTAAATTCTAAGTCTAAGACTATTTAAAACCATCACAGAGAAAGCAGATGTCTGTGAATCTGATTTAAAGGGCCATTTTAGTTTAGGACTAGGCTTAATCTCTGTCTAGAAGCTCAAGAATAAATGATCTGTTGTCTCTTGATATTGTTTACCTGGTTAGTCACGTGCTATTGTGTCCACGTATGCATGCAAAGGACAAAAGTCAAAGGATATTTAGCCTAACACCATGTCAGACTTATAATACTTGAATGTCATGACGCCACCATCTGGATGAGCGCGGAAGCGACGCGATGACGTCACACGTCCTAACGCTGCAGCATCTGCGTAAAAAAGCCGCGTCATGAAATTGTTTCCACTATAATGATGACGAGACTCTGGAAATGCAGGTAGAATAGAAATGAACACAAATGTATCCACCCAAAGTGTTTAGCTTACATTATATATTTACGTTTATGCATTTGGCATTTTATACAGAATGAAAGAGAAAACTGTATTTTTCTTTGTTAACTTTGTTAACTGTATCTTATTTGTTAATTTATTTATTTATTATCATTATTATTATTATTATTACAAAAGTCGATAATTGGAGTAGGTTTTACAAGAGAATATTATTTCAGTCTTTCAACTTCAAAATTTCACGTTTAATTAATGTGTAACTTGCCATTTTTACTAATTGTGATAATTACTTGCGATTTTTTTGTGTGAAAAATGTTTCTACACCATTTATTTCGGTGTATGATTCAAACAAGAATGATTTATCAAAATTTTTAAACTTTTTCATCTTAACATTTTCTATTAACTCTAAAGACAAAACGACTTGAAATTATTCTTGCAATGTCTATACAATGGAAGTCCTTTCAAATGTTAAATGTAAAAATAAATTCATTTGTGAACACCCTTGTTATTATGACAATTTCTGTTAGCCTAGAATTATTATTATTATTATTTTTGAAAAGCGATGTCAGTGATTAGTGATATTTCAATATTTATAATTATTATTTACACATTTACATTTAGTCATTTTGCAGATGCTTTTATCCAAAGCGACTTACAACTGGGGAATAGTTTCAGGCATTGTTCAAATAAGTACAAGCTAGAAAGGGAAGGAATAAATAAAGAGAAAGACCTTTTTTTTCTTTTTTCTTTTTGTTAGGATGAAGTAAAGTAGCTTCGAAAGAGATGAGTTTTCAGCTGTCGCTTGTTCTTTCATCCATGCCGAGATGTCCGCCAGGCAGCCTGAGATCCGTGCAGCTACCGTTGGATCATCTGGTTGAAATGAAAGATAGAGCTGTGTGTCATCAGCATAGCAATGGTAGGAGAAGCCATGTGCCTGTATGATGGGACCCAGTGATGTAGTGTATATGGAGAAGAGGAGGGGTCCAAGAACTGAGCCCTGAGGAACCCCTCACCTGACTGGTTAGCGTCCAGTTTGTTGATCTGTGAAAGACACAATGATACCTGGTTGAAAACAACTCATTCGAGGGTTTTCGCTATGAATGGAAGGAGAGAGACAGGTCTGTAGCTATCTATAAGAGAAGTGTTTAATGTAGGTTTTTTGAGCAGTGGGGTTACCCGAGCCTGCTTGAATGCAGTGGGGAAGGTGCCTGTGAGGAGAGATGTGTGTGGAGGAGGTGTGAGGGGATTGGGTCTAGAGGGCATGTTGTAGGATGGCTGGAGAGGAGAAGTTTCCATACGTCTGCCTCAGTGAGGAGGGGACAGAAGGAGAAGATGGGAGTTTTAGCAGTGGGTGTGGTTGGTGTGAGATCCTGTGTGTGTGGAGCTGAGAACTGACTGATTGTGCTAGTTTTGCCTGTGAAGAATGTGGCGAAATCATTAGCTGTTGTGGGAGGGGGACAGAGGAGAGAATTTAATGTTTTGAAGAGATTAAGTGTGTCTGGAGAGCTGCTGATGCTCTTGTTGTGTATGAGAATACACAGTACATGTTTTGTATATTCTCATTTTAATCAATGCAGACGTCTCCCATATAGCTGCAGACGTCTCCCATATATCTGAAATGTCCAGCCGTGTTCTATTCAAATATGCATTGTATAATAAACCTGTAATACTTCGATCTGCTGTACGTAGGCGCAGTTCTGCATGCGCGCGTGAGAAACTCCAGCTTCCCCTCGGCGTGACGTCACGCCGCGAGCTGTTCCCGCGCTGCCGCTGCTGCTGCTGAAGGAAGCAAAGATGGCAGTTAGCTAGACGCACAAACGGCCGGTGAACTGAGGGGAAAGTGCTTTATGTGAGGATTTTCTGTGAGCTCGTCTGTTTATTCGCGGGTTTATTGTTCAGAAGCTGCAGTTATGGCAGTGTGTTGAATCCAGTCACAGCGCGTTAACGGACTGTCCCGTTCCGGCGGAGGATTGACGCGACGCGACGCGGCGCGATGTCTCTGCTCTGCGTCGGGGGTGAGTAACAGTCATACATTCGCCCTTTGTTGGGACAGAATTTTAATAACACAGAATCCCTGTTAAAAAGTACAATATGAGGCGAATTAATCATTACCGCGCTAGCTTACCACGGTACTTTTTGCTAGTGATCTTGATTACAAATCCATACGTTAGCTTTTGGACATGTACCATGGTATAAATCTCTATTTTTGGACATGTACCATGGTATAAATCTCTATTTAATCGTATTCCTCACTGTTGCAGTACCATGAGACTTTAATATGAACCATGAAATGATGGTATTCAACATTTAACGTTACAAGGGATATTTCATGTTCATGTCCAAAAATTTTGATTGTTGTCATGGTAACGCTACGTGTAAATAAACCATGTTTTTGTCTTGCTAATGAGATCTTCAGATGTGTTTAGTGAAGGTGTTAGTGTTGTTCCTTTTTAAGATTCATTCATCAGCCTGTTAATCAATCAGTCAAGTGTTAATATTAGAATTAATAATGCAGATGCTGTTAGGACACTGGGTTAATACTTTAAGGATCTGATATGTGGAAATGTGCTATTAGAAAGGGTTTTGCTCATGTTGTTCATTGTAGTGTGGGGATCTCTAATGTGTTCGTGAGGGAATCCTGTGCATGTGATGAAATGGCATTTCTTGTGTTGTGAAGATCATTCTGGTCACGGTGCAGAGCTTTCAGGGCGTCACGTTCCTTCAGGTTCACCTACATTAACAGTGTGTATTAAAATAATGATTGATTGACAGGGTCGGTTATACAAATGATTGATTTCAGACGCCTCTGATAACGCTGTGTGTACAATGCATGCTCTGAAAGCAATATCTGTTCTGCAACAGCTGTACTGCATTATAGTCACAGAGACTTTTGTGCATCCAATCCAAACAAAGCATGGATAGCTGGATGATTGTAATCCAGCACAGCTGATTTTGCTGTGATGCAACGACACTGGCTTATTCTTATTCTGTGCTGCATCAGACTATAAAACACTAGCTGCTCTCTCACTAGCAGCGCTGGTCATTATGAGCACAGTTGCTCAAGGGTGAATCGCACTAAACCTGCCAAGATTCATGCATGAATCATTTTATCCCAAAATAAAAAAATGTAAAAACTATTTAATATATATAATAATAATAAATACAATATATTATAATATATAAATATAATACATTATATAAATAAATATATAAATAATAGAATTCCTATGATGAAAATTACAGGCCTCTCTCATCTTTTTAAGTGGGAGAACTTGCACAATTGGTGGCTGACTAAATACTTTTTTTCCCCACTGTATATAATTCATGAAAAATATATATTTTTTTGCATTACACTAATGAAAATTGGATTTTGTTTGCTGATATGAATGAATATTATATGTAGACATTATATTCACTGAAAAAGCAAATTAGCAAATTTACCAATTCCCTTTAGTGTAATGCAAAAAACAAAAACAAACAAAAAAAATGTTTCATTACCATAATGCAAAAATATGTAGATGATACATATATTAAAATTAAGCTTATTTTTAGGAGTAGTTAGATATTTTTTGACACTATATTTAATGGAAAAAGCTATTTACCCAGTTCCTTTTAGTGTAATACAAAATAATAATAATTTTTTATTAATAATTTCCATAATGCAAAAAGAATGATAATATATATCCAGTTTACACTGTCTATTATTTACCATGGCAGAATCAGGAAACAGTCCTCCATAAAATGTGCTGCACACGTCTGAATATATTCGCTTTCACAAAGAAATACACGGCGGGCTAGAGTGAGGAACGGGCGGCGCTTGAGAACGGCGCGGCCGGCGGATTCGACGAAGGAGCATCCGGAGGACTTGCGGCAACCACATGTGACGACCCCGGGCTGGACTCTGCTTCGCCTTCACAACATGGCGGCGGCGGCAACAACAATACTACAGCGAGAATAAAAGTTACGTCTTCTTTCTTTGCGTGAACATTTGGGCGGCATTATGCAAATCTTCCCACATCGTGACGTAGATATGTGGGGGCGTGTTAGAACGAGCCGTTTTAGGAGGGCGTGGTTGACTCTTAACTTTTATAAAGAATATCTCTTTGGATTTGAGACTTTAGACTTTGCAACTTTACAGATCTTCTTTATGCACCAAGAGCTTGTAACACTCCAAAGAGAAAGGAAAAATTTAAATTGCATCGTATAAAAAAAATCATTGTGTCCAGACAGGATGAATCTGATTGTTAGTATTAAATACATTAATGAGAATTTGGAGGGGAAGATGTGCTTTTTTGTAAAGAAAAGTAATTTCCCCATTTTTGGGGGAAAAATATGACCTGGAAATTGTAACTGTGATTTAGAGGAAGTCCCTGAGTAAAGGCACAGCACCTGTTCAGGAAAAGAGTTATGGGTTTATTGCTCGATGAGATGACAAATGCTCTTATTATTGATGTACAGTTTGTTGGATCAATGTTCATTACAGGAGAGAGTGTGCAGCGTGAAGGGTCATGACTGAATTAAGCTCTTTACTTAAGATATCACAAAGACAGTGTTTGATAAAATATTGTCTAGCACTCCATTAGTCAGTTTGCATATATTACCCTTAACAGATTGTGTAATGAAATCTAAAGATGAATGCATTACATAAGGCCTCTCCTTTTTCTGCTGTTGTGTTGAGTGATATAACTCTTATGATGTTCGGTGGTGTTGTCATATGCTGAATGTAGGAGTGTTTTCATGCTTATGTAATATTGAAAACTGTTTTGTAGTCAGCATGGGCGGATAACATCCCACCTGCTGTTTCCAGCTAAACATCACAGGGAAATGCAAAGTCTTCACAGTTAGTAATGTGTTTTAATGTTTATGAGGAGTTCTGTTGCTCGTAATTGATGATGTCCAAATGCTTTTGGAGAGACTAGGTCATAGGAAAGAGAAATCACAAATGAGATCTCCTTAATTTCTCAGTTATTTCTCACAGACTGCAATGAAATGGACTTTTGCTGAAGTCTCCTGGTTCTTAGAAACCTACTCTGTAATCTCACATTTGTTTTAGAAGAGATCTTAAAGAAACAGTTCGTCCGAAAATGAAAATTTGCTGAAAATGTAATGAGAAATGAATGCATCACTTGCTCACCAATGGATCCTCTGCAGTGAATGGTCCAAACAGCTGATAAAAACACCACAACAATAATCCACAAGTAATCCACACCACTCCAGTCCATCAATTAATGTCTTGAAAAGACAAAAACTGCATGTTTGTAGAAACAATCTACAAACATCTATCATTAAGAAGTTTTTAACTTCAAACCATTGCTTCTGGCCAAAATACGAGTCCATAATCCATAATAACACTTCCTCCAGTGAAAAAGTGGTCTGGTCTGAATTAGGGATGCTCCGATCCGCCTTTTTCACCTCCAATACCGATTCCGATAACTAGGGTTCAGTATTGGCCGATACCGATCCGATACCAGTGAAGTTTTTTTTCCCCATTTAAATAAATGTAGAATTTATATATCTCTGTGTGTGGAACTGATAATCATTCTTTCACAATCTACTAAATACAGACTACTTCATTATAAATAAAAATAAACAATAAATATGAAAAAATATACTGTATGTATATTCATAATCTATGACAAACATATATCATAAACTAGGTTAGTGGATAATTCAGCTGCAAAAGTTATTCTAGAAAAATCAGTGCACAATAATTTTAGAAATCCAAACATTTAGTGAAAAAACAATATTTTGTGTGGAACAAATAAAAGTTTTGCACTAAATATGGTAAAATGTTACACATTGCTATTTGTATTATAAAACCCATTTGAAAACATTCATGAATGTCATGAAGTGTAAAATTAAAAGAAGTTTCTTTTAAATGTATAGCATATTTTTTTAAATAAGGCAACAATATATGATAGATTCGATAGGTAAATACAGTGACATATGATAGATTCGATAACAAATGCAGTGTGGCACGAAGCGCTTACGATATGCGCATCCAGTGTGCAGAATGATGCGCTTGCATTAAAAACGGCAAAGCACAAAGGGAAGAGGAATTGATGCGTAGTGTGTTATATCTGTGCAACAGTTATTGAGCCTTTCTTTTAGCAGTTTTAAATTTCAGTTACTGTGCGCGTTAAGAACTATTTATAGTCTTTTCTACGCCCGTGTTTTGTTCTCACAGACACCCGGTAGCAAGTAACAAAACAACATTAAACTCCAGCAAGAAGATAAAGTACTTTTTGCAAAATCATAGACGTTTATTTACAAATCAAGTATAATGGGAACACAGAATGATCTTGGAGAGAGCTTTACCGAGCTGACCGCTGTAACCAAACGCGAGCAGGGTTTAAAGGCTGAACGAATGACTGACAGCCACAGCGGAGAAAAGAGTTTGTGTGAACTTTAATCTAAGGACTTAAATATTCATATGTAGCTCACATTAAAGGGATAGGCCTACGTTTTCTACGTGTGTTTACCATGGACTGTATAAGGTATTTACGCTTTAAATTGGAAGGAAAACGGCGCATCCGTGCAGCGCGGCTGACACAGAAGAGCCTACGCTGCCTGCGTTCAGAGCGGATATTCTCCAAAATGGTGCTACAGTGATGCGAAAAGACACACGACGAATTGTTGAATAAAGTCGTTATTTTTGTTTTCTTCGCGTACAAAAAGCATTCTCGTCGCTTCATAACGTTACGGTTGAACCACTGATGGCAGATGGACTATTCTGACGATGTCTTTCATACTTTTCTGGACCTTGACAGTGCAAATGGGACAGTCACAAGCCTCCCGGTTTTCATCCAAAATATCCGATTGTGTTCCGAAGACGAACGAAGCTTTTACGGGTTTGAAACGACATGGGGGTAAGTGATTAATGGCAAAATTTTGCATTTTGAGGTGGAGTAGCCCTTTAAGCTATGCTATGGCTTCAGAGCAGAGGTAACACAATATGCACAATCTCGGATTTGGTTCGGCTCTCTCTGACCGATACCCGATCCGACAAAAAAGG